AGTGGGATTATTTTAGGCTTGTGGGAGGCTTTTTTGTAATTTTTTTTTTTTTTGTTATCCTCGAATTTACGGGCGTCAACTTTTTTCGGGGGTGGGCATTTGGCGGGAATCGGAGGGGGTTGGTTGAATAGGGATGCCATAGGGGTTTGGCGAGATCGGGCAAGATCCTCCCTTTTTACTGTGGTTGTAGATTCTATCTTTCACTCTTCTTCGGTATGGGGGAAATTGGTGCTGGCCTGTTTATTGTCTACGTCTTCGCTGCTAGAGAAGAGTCTTTCTCGACCTTCGGCATTGAGATAAAATAATCCAAGATGTGCCTTGTTTTTGTTCGGCTTTTTTTGCCCTCGTCCTCTTCATTTGGGGTAGACTGAGAAGCCCAAAATCGTATTCCATCGTACGGCTGTTACTCAGGGGATATTGCTCCTTTGTCATAAGGGCGGACCAGTTATTGTTGGGGGGGGGTTGGGGGGGGGGGGCGGTCAGGCAAGGAGGAACGGCAAGGTCCATCCTTCTTTTCCTCGCATTGTGTTGTGCGCTCCAGCAGTTGGGGTTGCTGCACTGGGCCAAACCACTACCACTGTACACAAGGCCAACGGCGGATTTGTTTTTCTGCGTCCGGTTTTCCATTTTTACCATCCAATGCCACAGCTTTTGGGTGGATGTGTCTGCACAGCAGTTGGCCGTGCGCAGCAACATTATCTCACATCACACAACGGGCACACACACCCCAGGGCCAATCTGACATCCTCCCCTCCATCCTCTTTACATACGCCATGAGCACATAGACACACACACACTCTCTCTCACTCTCTCTCTCACACACACACTCACTCACTCACTCACCCACACCTTGTTTCCTCTCTTGCGTCTCATCCCCATACTTTCTTTACAGCCGCTCCTCCCCCTCCCTTCTAGACTCCCCCCTTGTCCCAAACGCTCCTCCTGCAATTCCTTACTGGACCCAAAGTGCCTCTTACCCCTGCTAGTCGTCAGCCAACACTTACCTTCGGTCCACTGCTGCCCGCTGAGGTGCAGGGAGCAAAAATGCTAAATGTGTCGGTTGATGCGCTGGGAATGTGCTTGATTCGCTACGACAGCACTTGGGGAGGGGGCTCCTCTATTTTCACTCTGGGGGTTGCCGGTTTCGTAACAAAGTCGCTTGCATTTCCCCTGTACCAAGTACATACATGTACCTCGTTTTTTTTCCTTTCAGCCCAGCCGGTTCTTCCCACCCGCTTCGAATCCAAACTAACTCTGGGACCCAGCAGACCCAGACCTCTAACAACAAGGGAGCTCCCGCCCATTTTTTTTTTAAAAAAAAGGGCTCGTTCCAAGTCTCCGTTGCGGCACGACATACATACACCCGCCTTTTACCACCTTTTCCTGGTCCGTTAGGACCATCCCTCCCTCACCCCCTCGCACAAACCCTTTGACGGGTTTAAATTCCACATTTCCTCCCGCTTTCGCCGCGCCTGGCCCTTTTCTTCTCACTTGCAACGTGCTGCCAGACCCAGGATCCATCACGTCCCCTGTCGCCAAACCAGTGGAAAGGTTTCCAAGCCTGAGCTTCAAGGCTCCTGAGATAGCCCTTGTATCGCTGTGCACAGTTCAAGAGTTCCATAAGGTGACGGACGCAGCATAAGAGTTTGGGGCTGGAAAAGGTTAGCCTTGCTACTATCAGTCGGATTGTGGAGGATCCGGCAGCATTTGGCTTCTGAACTTGCCACTCGGGAAGCAAAGTAGCCCCTTGGAACATACGACATGGCCGACAATCACAGAAGGGCGTACCCGCCGCCGCGAGAGGGCCCAGAGAGCTCGCATTATCCACCGCCCCCAGAGGAAGACGAAGATAGGAGGAGGCTCCCGCCAGTTGGGGGGAGCGGCGTGAGCTTGCCGTCAATCTCTTCTTATCCACCACCACCAGCTTCGTACCCGCCGTCTGACCCACGCTATCAGGATCGAGGGTATTCTGCAGACCCGCGATATCAAGATTCAAGGAGTTGGCCCGCAGACCCTCAAACACCTAGTGGATATCCTCCGCCACCTCCGGACTCACGATACCCGCCCTTGCCGTCGGTGAACGCGCCGCCACGGCGTTATGATGATCGGCCGCCATACGACGACAGGAGGCCGTATGACGATCACAGACCATACAATGACCCTTACTACGGGCCGCCTCCACACGCGTCCAGGCCCCCCAGTTACCCACCCCCTGGATCTGATCCATACTACAGGTACCCGCCGGGAACTCCGTATCCCTATGGCGCTCCTCAACAGGCACCGCCTCAGCAGCAAGCTGCACCAAGGCAAAGGACATCGATTGCGTGCCGCTATTGTCGAAAGAGAAAGGTAACAAGGGACCATGTCGCGCATAATCAGATGGAATCAGGACGGGAGTTGCTAACTTTGGTTTCAAATAATCAGATTCGTTGCAGTGGTTACCAGAACACGCAAAATGGAAAGTGCACCAATTGCGACAAGCTTCGAATCGACTGCGTATTCCAGCCGGTATCTTCTAATTCCTCAGCCGCCTTCGTTCCAGTTCAGGCGCTCCCCGGAGGAGTGCCTCCCGGAACACCCCTCTTTGGAGCGTGGGGACAGCCTCTCGGTTCAACGGGCTCACAGGGACCACCTCCGCAACGGCCTTACCCGCAACACCCCCCGTCTGACTACCCGCCACCTTTGAATTCGCCCACAGCTGCGTATCCTCCATACGACGACCGGGAAGGCAGTCGCCGACGAACCCGCCCACCCGAAGACGATCCGAGTTTGCGACCTGGCCCTCCCAACTACCCGCCTGACGACGATCCGCGACGACGCTCTCCCGCTTCAAACCACAGCAACGGCACTCCCCCGACGGGCTATCACCAGTATCAACACGGCGTCTACGACCAGGACAGGACCCCAACTCCTCAAAAGCCGAGTCCCAGCGGTCCCAGTGCTCCTCCGATGCACCCTCAGCAGCCGCCGCCTCTGGTGGCTCACTCACCTTCACAGCCGCCTTCTGGTGCCTCCGCCAACCCAATGAGTCTCGGACACCTGATCAGCACGGATGAGCGTGAACGAGGCGGTCCTAACGCCGGGATCGATCGCGACATGCTCGGGAGACTGGGTCGGAGATCCTAACATATATATGATTTTTTCGCCACGACAAAGCGAGGACCTGCAATTTGCATGTCTTATATATACCCAGTAACCTTTCGCCAAATGTCTAGCGTTGAAGTGGAATATGTGATTTTCTGAACGGCATAGCTCATGTATACCTGCCTTTTTCCAGCACCGGCGGGAAATGGAACAAAGATTGGGTTTTCTTGGTTTTTTTTCCCTTCTGTCTATATTTGAGGGTGGAAAGGGAGGAGGGGAGATTTGGATTTGCCTCACGGCAGTGAGTATTCCTTTTTTTTTCACGTTGTCTTTTCCGTATGTACGGAAATTTCTTGGTTTCGGCACATGGAGGAGGGGTCGGGTGGGTGGTATTCTGAAGTTTCTGTCTACCTTGCAGCAACCAATCACGAAATTGGCAATTTTGCTTCATATGTTGCTTTTCTATTTTCAAACATTCCGGTGTCTCTGTCTGCATATTGTATCTTTTCTATCTATCTATCTCTCTGGTTTCGGCGGGTTGGGGGTGGTATTCTGTGCTTCTTCAAGTAACTGGGAAGGTTTTTGTCTGCTGGTTTGCTTGTCATCACTCTGGACATTTTAGATTGATTTTGTGCCGGTTGGTTTGGGTGGTCTTGCGAGTTTTTTTTGGAAGTTATCAAATCATGTTCATGCAACGTCTTTTGCCAAAAGACACACACACACACACACACACACACACACACACAAACATTTCCAGTGGTGTTTTTGGCTTGAACATACCACAACTTGGTTTCGTTTAACCTAGCTCTCCCGACTCTTTAGCTATAGTATCTATATAATTCAAGTTGTACACACACACACACACACATACATACATACATACACCAAAGTTTACATTATCTGCAACCGTGTATCTAAATGGAAAGGCTCGCTATTTTGCCTACGGATAGCTACCTACCGTGGTTTTTGGTCCCGGCCGAACCGGGAGTGATCGCGCGGAACTCGTGACGTTGAGGATGTATACATCTTTTGTTCCCTGTTGTGGAACAGTTACGCCAGCCTTTTATTTTTTTATTTTTTATTTATTTTTTTTGGATGTCTACTGCCTCGTTGCCTTGTGCGGCTACCCTTGGGTGAACCCGTTGCCCCGTGATGGGAAACAGTCGGGATCGACTTCCAAAACTTTTGGTCTCTTGTCCGACGTGGGGGTTCGAAAGGTGAGGCGGGGGAGCGCAACCCAGACGGCTTTACTTTTGTTTCCTTCTGGTCCTACACCGGGGCACGGGGAAAAAGAAAGCGAGGAAGGGTCAGACAGACGTGTGAGACGGAAGGGTGGGAGGAAGCAGCTGTGCTCGTTGGAGGGGAAAGGTGTCGCGACACGCGCGGGTGTGCTCTGTTGCTCTGAGATATCTTGTGTGTTGTGTAAGTGAAAGGGAACATGTAGGTGTGTCCCAAAAGGGGAAAGATTTTTATGTTTGGGTGTACATCCATCCCATGAACATCTTGTCTAGATATTTGCTCTTGTGGTGTGGTGTGGTGTGGTGTGTGTGTGTTCAGGGGGTTTATACCAGAGGAGACGTATGTTGTCCCGTCTACCAATCTTTCTTTTTTGGTTCTGGTACAGATACATAGAGTCAACATGAGGTTGGTGATTGGGTCTGATGCCTGGACGAGGCTAGACTGGGCCAGATGGAATAGTGTACAGAGTCTAGTATCTGAGGGGTATCCAGCACCGCCTCTACTAGTCGCAGATAGCCCAGAAAGCGAGCGTCCTTTTGAACGATGTGACTGTACTTGCAAACGTGTAAAGTCAACAGGTACCTTGACTTATTCATGGCTTCCCCTCCTCTAAAGAAGCTATGCTATGCCACCCAGCCAAACTATCCACTCACGAACAGTTTGTCGATATTAACACCATACACACCTCCCGTTCACCCATCCACTCATCCACACCACACCCACATACCGGGCCACACACATACACACAACACACACACACACACACCACTCTCTCTAGCGTCCACACCGCGTCCGTCTCGTCCGCAGGGCCCGCTTCCCTCTTCTTTTCCTTCTCCCCTCTCGTCAGGCCTCACCGATGTACAGCAACACCAGGATTGGGTTTTCTCATCCCACCGTCGATCTTCAAAGGTGGACAAGACCCGAAACTCACAGCAGACATCCCTCACCCTTGCAATCATCAAAGCATGACAAAAACAACGCTAAGCAAAAAGTCTCCCCTTCATTACTCCATCCCCACCTTTCGATAGTCACTTTCGGATCACCGCTCTGTTGTTCTTCTCCAACAAGCACAAACAAGGTGGTGCCATGGCTTGCGCTTCTAGCTCCACTTCCTGCTTACCGGTACGGCCCATGACGGGAGCAGGTTTCCCACACCCCCCAGCCACTGCCTGGTGTAGGGTCAACCTAGCTTCAAGGCAACAACCTTGTCTCCTCCCCCTTCTCGGACTTGGCTCCGATTGTTGAATGGGGTTGGAAAAAAGGTTCGTGTCTTGGCTTTTTTCTTGGAAAACAGTGGTGATGAATAATAAACGGCAGGGAAGGTGTAATGGTACGGAGTACTGCTAGTGGAGTGAATGTAAATAGTTGCTGTGAAAGTCGTGATGATGGTGACTGATCAAGCTAGCATGGCTCGAGACACGAAGCGAAGGAGGAGCTGTTGTTGCCGCGACATTTTTGTCCCTCTGGATCCACCCCCCACACATCAACAATCATCGGGACATGCAAGCGCACGGGTGTTACATAGTGCACATACCTAGCCAACCGCCTCTATCAAGAGAGGGATCTCTGCTTAATGAAACGCTGACTGCCGAGGACAACGGCCAAAGAGGGCGACGTCTGGTTGACTAGTAAGCAGCCCCCCTTGTCAGGGGACAGACCTGTTTTGTCTTGATGAACAACTTTGTTCCTTCTGCCCAGAGCAAAGATGTTTTATCTGAATCCACATTGGGGCCGAATGCTATGCAATGACTGGGAGTGAGGGCCGGCCACGTTGTCTCTTCTGGGTCTTCTGCCAGCTAGCAATACCAAGAATACACTAGGGAATCTTGAAGAGGATAGAGAGCTTTTCACTTACGTAGATACATGCACCTTCTGTGGATCCATGTCGCCATGTGTAGTCGAAAAAGCCTCAGGAAATACGAGGCTGAGTATGTGCCGTAGAGGCAGTTAGCAAGCCAGGCTGGCGCCCATGAAGAGATATTACAATATGTAAACGGCACGACGCATGCCTGGCCGGCCCTGCTGCACTCACATACTCACCATCTTTACCACAAGTCCGTCTGACAAGTACCGGACGTCAACGGGGGCCACGGGGCTAAGGCAGCGTCGAGGCGAACGACGGGCGATATATTTGCTGTGCCGTCCGAGTATGCAGCGCTCCCAAAATGGTGGTGAAGCAGAAAGCCCCTGGCGCATGTAAAAGAAGAATGCCACATTCCTCTGCACGCCTCTGCGTCGACGAAGGTCTTGGTGGTCCGCCCGCCTGGCGGCCGCATGTGAATGCTTCTTTCCTGCGAGGTTTGCCTGCTAACTTGAACCAACTGGGCCAACCAACTGTTGTTGCTTGTGTTCGGCGGCGCAAAGCTGGAGCCCGCTCCTCCCGAGCAAGTACCGCACCTGTGCTCTTTGAGTCGTCAGATTTTCAATTCCATCCCAGGACATAATTCAGCACAGCTGATAGTTCCACGCTCATCATCTCGGTTGAGGTCGGCTTTGCGTTCCATGTAAGACGACGGCTGTCGTTTGTGGACAGCCCATTAATGACGCTGCGCAACGTCACGCTGTGCACCCACTCTGGCTTCCCTCATGGATGTCAACTCAACTGGGTTCCACGAACGGAGGGATGTTGGTGCAAAACGATGCGCACGGTCGGGACCTCTGAGGAACCATGACTCGCTCTGCTCGCGACCATGTTGCGGGATAGGTGCACGCCTTGCGCTGTTTGCGTATTGCTGGGACGGACGGCGGGCTATCAGATGTAACCGTCAGCAGCAGTCCCCCGGGCCACATAGCCCCCCCGTACGGGCCGACCCCTAGAAAGATAGACCCGTCAGCCGGGTGATGAGCGGACGGACCGTGGTGTGTCATTGATTCTCCGATGCGGGACGACACAGGCGCTCTCCAAGCTCCAAGCTCCAAGCTCAGGCAGGATATTGAACTTGAAATCCAGTGACCAGTCGGCAAGGATAAAACTTGCCTGCAAAAGGCCAGCTTGGGGCGAGAACTGCCGGACATATGCAAGATAGTCTGGGTGTGGAATGCACGTGCCATGGCTCGCCCACAATAGAATGCAGCCTGGGAGACGATCTCGTTGGTCCTCAAGGCACGACGACACCTTGCGAGGTTCCTGCAGTGGCGGTCTGGCGGTTTGTTTTGGGACGGACTGCGGGAGTTTCCGAGCGTGCGTTGGCCTCGTCCAGGCCTTGTGGTGTACCGGTCTGGTCTCCAACGGCGAACGCGACTGACCGAGCTTTGGTTGGCCGCTGGTACGGTGCGAGATGTGGTAAGATCGGTACGTCTGGAATGTTTGAGCAGGTCGTCGATAACTCATTTCCGCTGGTTTCACCCCGGGTGGCTTCTTTGTTTTTGGAATGGCAACAGGGTTCGGAGCCTGTTCCGCTGAGCTTGAGATTGGCTCCCAACTAGATCCTGGCCTCGGGAGTTTTCAAAGGCACGGCTGTTGGTGGTCTGTTGGCGAGAAGGATGGCCCGGGAACAGTGGACACCTCTCCTCGTTCCCTCCAGGCAGTTTGACTTTGAGCTAGGCACCCAAGTTATGTCGTCCGTCAATGCCACTGCATTGGCACTGCCATAGGCTGTTGTGATGCCGATGGGGGGTTCAGACCGTCGAGGCAAGTGCGCGAGCGACTCTCTCCAGCAACATGACATCGATTGACTGCGACTCCATCTTCCTTGGCCACCTTTTGCTGTGGATAGACGACATTGGACCTTGCATATTCCCGTTCAGGGTCAAACTTCGCGCCTCGGACATCTCGGTCTGCGCATATCAACCCAAATTTGTCGTTACTTGATTGAGTTCACCCTGCATCTAAAGGATTACAAGCGCACTCTGGATCACACCGAGCCCACCGAACAAGGAGCACGAGGTTGCGAGCATGGAGCCCGGGTTTGTCATGAACCTTCCCAACAAATCCGAGAGATGTCGACTGCCCCAGTATGTTACCTGTCACATTGTTTCGGAGAAGTCTGACATGCTTCCAGACACCGCTGTGATCCATGTCGTTCATGCCACCTGCGAACCTCCTCCATTCGGTATGATTGCGTCCTTCGCGACACGCTGCCCATCTTCCTCCCCATGGGTGTTTCGGTATCTCCCGAATCTGGACTGTCGTTATCGAATCGTTCTGTCGTCTTTGCCCGAAGTACCCGAGGGACAGTATCGTGGCGTTGTGATGGCAAGGGACAAGAGCCCGCTTATCTGGGAGGCGTCAAGAACCTGAGCGGCGGGTTATGCCAAGCTATGACAGTGTGGAGGGCTCGCGACCCAACAGCATGGCGATGATTTCGTGATCTCGCCATAATCAATAATCAATCCCAGGGAACTATTGACCTGCTGGATCGGGGATAATTCCCAACTCGAGGATATTGGTCGCTGTGGCTGTGATGCCGCTATGCCTGCTCGCCCTTGTGCAAGCTCATTCTACTGCTTTGGTCAGCTTACTCTACCCTCCATCCTTTGTGGTTGCGGTTGCCAACTGTTCCACAAAGGAAAGTATCGCGATTCGCTAATCGACGATCAACACCCACAGAGATGGCAAAATGCAGGCGCCCCAGCCCGAGGTTCCAAGGTTTTCACATCCCTAACGGAACTTTCAGCTGATTCCCCTTCTCCGACGCTCGACCCCCCTCGACACGCTTCATTGCGCTGCCCAGCCAGACACCAACAAGCCACGCAATTCCTCGACGAGCCAGAGGACTGTGACATCTTTTGAGCGGTTACCACGCCTGGGTGCGGCGTGGTCAGCCAGCCATGGGTCGACACATTGTCACTGGTACCCGTTCTACAGACACACCACTGCTAACCCCCGGGGCGCTGGCTTGCTCGAGGTTAGGGACCATGCGGGACAGATATTGTGGAAGCTGACTGACTTACCAACCCGACTGCAAAAGTGTCGCGGGCCTAGACAGCTGATGCTTCCAGCCGCTCAACACAGCATCGACCATCTTGCGCAAGGCTGCCTAGTCTTGTTCTTCTGATGATACTGGGAGCGCAAAAAGCAGGTGAGTTAAGTAACCGATCAAAACTTGCTTTTCTAGTCAGTAGCGTTGAGTAGTTTCCCTTCTGCTTTGTTAGTTATCCTTCTGCTGGCCATTGCCAACGCTAACTTGCACAGCAGAACCAAGTTCGCCGCACTTTGTTGAGAGACCCAAACCACGGCCAGATACCGCTGCCCCGATCCACCGAAAATACACATTTTGTTGTTTGAACATCGCATTCAATCAAATCTCTGCAGTTCTTGTTGTGATGGCTTTGCTGTGGAGCCATCCCCTGGCTGTCGGTAAGGGGTTGCACGGACCGGCGTTGTGAGGTCAAACTATCACGAGTGGAGTCAACAATGGGAACACCGACATGGAGACTGAAATGAACGAAGTTCTGTTGAGATGATGGGAATTGAAAGACACCAAATTGTATCCGACCAGAATCACTTGCGCCGAAGGTATGTTCGGATGAAACACCTGTCCGTTCGGTATCAAGTCGGGGCTGGAAATCTTTATGAACCTCACTCTGACACTTATGGACCAGGTGGAATGGCGGTACACGACGTAGCCCAGTTGTTTGAATTCCACGGCGCGAAGTTCGGGTCCTTTGAGATCCATGCGGCATTGTCGTGTGGTGCGATCTCATCTCAGTGTCATGACATCAAGGATGATGGAGGTTACGTTGATCTTTCAGGTCAATTTCACGATGACATGGCCGGCGTGTTGTCAGGATGATGTTTGCCGAACCGGTGCGTGTTCGATTTCGGAGGTCCCGATGAAAACAGGAGAGACATGGGCGAAACACGCGTGGAAAACGCCGCATATCCCCTCTCCCATATTTTCCTTTTGGGGCGGTACCGCATAGGTATTGGGCCATTGCAGGCCGCCCCCTCATGCAAGCAAGTGGTCCACTAGTGTGTGACGTCTACTTTTTGGACGTAACGATGGCCGGCAGCACGACAAGGAGAGTTCTTTTACTTGTGACCATCATGCGGTGCATTCGTGCCGATGTTCCAATGTGGCCAGCATCTGGTGTGTGCGTTGCAAAGTGTGGTGCAGTCGCGCAACCGGAAAGGGAAAATATTGGCATTGACTGTAACACCACTTGCAGTGTGGTGTGATGGGCCACTGTGACTGGTCGTTATATTCTCGGTTTCCCCGTTTTGCAATGGGCTGGTTGTGACTGGCATGTTTGTGCCGTTTCTTGTCCTTTTTGCCTTGCTCGATCAATCTTCGCTTTCATCCAAGTTTTGGCGCGATGGCAACTGGGTAGTGGAAGGGTGGAAGGAGGAATCGAAGATCCACACTTCAGGGGAAGTAAACAAACCGCTTTGCTGCAGCTTAGCGGCCACGGCGGTAAAACAATGGGCCTCTTGTGTTAGCTTATCCAATTGAATGGTTTAGGATTCTATTGGAGGAATAAAAATATTGATGGCATCATGCTGCTCGAGATTTCCGACATGATCAAGAAGACGACTCTTGGATGCGATATCCATGCATTGCAAACGGTATTCCAAAACAACTGTAATACCACAAGTAACATACCCACCAAGGTATATCCTCGATAGCAACTGGTCACAATACCTATCTAGAAAGTCGAATGTACACGATCTCTACAATCCTCGGCTGCAAGTCTAGGTGCGGCGTCGACTGACACGTGTACCGCCATCATTCTCTCACAGTGGCAACTCTAGCAGCTCTGCCACATTGGCTTGGTTAGCTATCCCATCCTCGAGCTCGTCGTCGATACCAGGCAAAGGACCACTCACCAATCGTCCCCGACGACAAATGCACCACCAAGTAAAATGGCAGGTTCGTTGATATTGTGGTGTTCATAACTGTCGTTTCTCAGCAGACCGCTCGCACGTACCCAGAGCAAAGTCGGCGCGCAATACATACCTCAGCGTCCCGACACCTCCTGCCTCAAGCAAAAACGTTGGTCCGTCATGAAGTTCCTTTCCCGCCCACCTCTGCGCGAAAGCTCGGAGTATGTGCCCATGTGCAACGATCAGGACGTCGCCCTTCTTCCCCTCGCCGACATTCTCGCCCTCCATCACTGGACGATGCCATTTCTCCCTGATGTCCTTGATCAGTCTATCTAGCCTAGCAGTAATATCCGCTGGGCTCCTACTCACAGTCAGCCATCCCTCCAGTAACGAACAGTCATGGTCTGGCATACTCCCCACCAGGACACCCATCTCGCCAGATATCCCACTTCCTCCCATCATCCAACCCCTGCTCCTTTCTAATCCTGTTGATCTCGGGGGAGGTGATCCCCTCATAGTCGCCGTAATCCCACTCTCTGATGTCCTCCGTGATCTCAACCTCAGCTTGACAGGGGATACCCCCTTCCCGAGCCGGGCTCAGAAGAGGGGTGCGCGACCGGTAAGCAATGTTCAAGAGCTCCAACGTGCGCTGGGCGCGGAGGCGAGGGGAGACATAGATGTGGGAGAGCTTGGAGGGGACGATGAGACGGTCGTTGCCGACGAGGGCGCGGCCGGTGGCTAGGACGCGCTTCTCGCCCGAGGGGGTGAGAGGGATGTTGGTTGTGGAGGTGTGCTTGCCGGAGAGGGACCAGGTGGTTTCGCCGTGGCGGATTATGAAGACGCGGGGGGTCATGTTCTCGAAAGTGGAAAACTATTGAGGGAAGGATATGAGGGGGTCTGCGGATGTGTTGTCAAAAGGGGAGTTGTAGGTGCAAAACAGGGTCAGGGGATAAGTTGAGGTCTTGATTGTCTCAAAAGGTGTCATCAGTGAAGAAACATTGGCGATCCAGGAGCTGACCTCACCACTCCGATTGAGCGAATCGAATCAGACAGCGGGAAGAACACCAACCTCGCTTATCTAGAACAAAATGCCACTCGAGGCAATGAGACAAAACTGTCTGGTAAACCAACAACTGAACATCCTGCAGCGTCTATTCGAGACCCAGTTACCATCTCCATTTTCCCCCTCTCCCGATGGGACATGAAACGCAGGGCGATTACTCACCACCCCCTCAATCATCTCAGTCAGCGGACATACTTGCCTCCGCAAGAAGCTGCCAACTTCCCAGTTTGAGTTTGTGTGTTCTTTGAAAGAAGGCAGAAGTTAGAAGCCCCACTTTCCCGCCAAAGCAAAACCAAGCAATCCGTTTAGCGCTAAACGGTCGGTCCCGGTTATCCGGCCCTGACATACTGCAGGTCCGTGCGCCTCAAACCCTTGCTTTCACTCAAAGAGACGAGACATCACAGCTCACTCAATACCACTCACCAACAAACCCTCACACCACCCACCCCTTACTTGTCTATCAATTGTGTACTGAAAAAAAACAGTCTCAAACTCACCCCAAGCTCACCAAATCATCATAAGACTTTATAAGTCATAACAAACCACACAAAATGTCCCGATCACCACAAACCCTCCTTCGACTCCCCCCCAAACGAACCTTCACAACCTCAGCCCCCCACCTCAAATCCCAACCCTACAGCAACTCTTCCACGAGGCGGCAAACCCAAGGAAAAGCCGACCCAAAGTCAACAACAGACGGGAAACCCGGGCCAGCACCCCGCTGGAAACGCCTCATCTGGACCGGCGCCTTCGCCGCGACGGCATTCACCGGGTCCATCTACGGCGCCGGGTTGAAGACGCAGAGGGAGTGGAACGAGGTTCGTCCCCCCCCTGCCGCCCTCTCTTTTCTCCAAACCCCCATATCCACATCCTCCTGCATAAGATTTTGTTTATTTATTTAATTTTTAAAAATTGTTATTAATTTTTTTTCATTAAATTTTTTTATTTAAATTTTTTTTTAATAGTTATTGATTTTTATTTACTTATTTATTGATTTTTTATTTATTTATTTACTTTTATTTATTTATTGCTTTATTTATTTATTATTATTTTTATTATTATTAGTTTTTTTTTTAGATTTTTATTATTATTATTTTTTTATATATTTTTTTTTATTTTTTTCTCACGCAACCCATTTCCATTTCCTATGTCCCGAAATCAAGCATAAATTGCGTCTTGAAATTATACATCGGGGTAGGTAGACGGTTGTGAAACTCGGGTGTGCTAACAAAGAGTCATTAGGAAAAACAAAAGGTCCAGGAGCTCACCACCGACGAAAAAGTGGCCATGCTCGAAAACTCAAAGGGGGAGCTCTGGAAGCAAAAGGTGTCGCTGGAGCAGAAGCTGGGGGAGGTGAGGAGGAGGATGGAGAAGGAGGAGGAAGGTGTGCCGAAATAGGGGGAGGGGGTGGTAATTCGAAAAGTTACCTAGTTGGATGTGGTGGTTTTGTAAGAATAATTTCTGTAAAATATAAGAAAACAAACATATCGCCGCGAAGTATTCCAAGGTCATTCAGAACTTGCCGACAGGAGGAGTAGAAGACGCGTGGTCACGCATGCGATATTGGCTGATCTCGCTCAGTCATAAAGCACGATCAGTGGGTCGAGCACGGCAGAAGGCAGAATATATTTGCTTATCCACTGCCCTGGCCACGCCCCTAGATGGTATTCTGTCTCCAGGTCCTCATCAGGAAAACAGCTTTGTCAGTCTCTCCGTCCTTGCCGCACATCTCTTGCACCGCCAGCGAAAACGCCTACCCAAACCCTTGACCCCTGGCTGCTCTATCCTGGTACCGGCAGACTGCCACCTGAAGCAACCTCCAGACACCAGCCCAAATGAGAGATCATCGCCCCGTGCCTTGGAGCAAGTTCTTGAAAACCAGATCAGCCTTGAACAATTACCAACTGAAACGAAATAGCCCGAGAGGAATGACTTGAAGCAGCAAAAGTCAACCGCACACTACAGGCTGCAGCCTGTCATCAAACACAGTAGAGAGAAAGCCAAGAAAATCATCATCAAGTAGTGATGTACCAAGATGAGGTCGGTCATTGACTCACTCATGTAAAAGAAGTCGAGAAGAAGATGGTCAATGAAAAGGAATGTTGGCGAGGAAGATACGAGTCAAGAACAGGCAAGTGTCCAAAGCCAAAAGGAAACTAACAAAGCAAAAGGATTAAAGAAGGGAGGAAAAAGAAGCTGAAAGATCCAGATGGGGAAAACCAATTCTTGTGAATGGAGATTGAAGCATCGAGTCTGCCATGTGATGATGTCGGCCAAGCACTGGAAAGTAGAAGAGATGTCATGCCAGATGGCCTTCAAAAAGACAAAGAAATCCTATCCAACGGCTTCGACGCCAACAAGGAGCGCAAACCATACACCTCGTGATAGAATCCCATCCTGTCACCACTCTGCCCGACAGGCTGGGGACGTCTTGCCTTCTTCTTTTTTGCGCCGTCCAGCGTTGTGGCACCCTCTGCTCCAGCACCCGTCATTCTGGCCATTGTTGCCAACAGCGCCTGCATGTCGAATTTGTTGAGGTTTTCAATGTGCATCCCTTCATTGACGGGGCCGATGTACTTGAAGTAGTAGCCTGGATGCAGCCCGGCGTTATCCCACATCTTCCACTCCCCGAACAGGACATAGATGTCTTGCCACTTGGTATTGCCGAATCTAGTTCGGAGCAGGAGGTGGATGATGCCCGCGGCCAGCTTATACGCGAGGTTGTCGTGGGCCTCCCTGAGGGGTATCTGGAGCTGTTGGAGAAGGTCTGTGTCGGTGGTTGGCAGCTTGGGCGGAAGGCGGACCACAACCGTGTGTAGACTGGGACATTCGCAAAGCGTTTGAAGACTCGGTATGACTTCAGGGCCCCATTCCATGTCGAAAACCAACGTCTCCAAACGGTGCGGGACTTGCGAGATGACTCTGAACAGGCTCGTCAGATGCTTAACCGAGAATAGCATGAGGACCTTGAGTTGAGAAAAGTCCCAGTTGTTGGTGCTCTCTTCCAGAGAGTGTCGCCAGTCATAGCTCTCAAGAACCAGCTCCCGAAGGGGTGGCAATCTCTCATTGCCCACGAACTCGAAGGAACGCTCGGCAAAATTGCGCAGATGGAGTGTTTCCAGACCACGTGTCTGCATGAGCCGTTGCTTCAACATGTTGATGGTGACAAACGATCCCGGTCCGGTCACGCTCAACCAAGTGAGATGCCTCCTGGGGATGGAGCTGATGTGGTCGCAACTGTCGGCCCGCATAAGTGGAAGCCCCAGCATTTGCACCCTGGGCTGACGAGACGTCGAAGCAGGTGGCTGAAGAACTGTTGTAAGCATCCATGGGCGGCCTGTCTGTGATATGTTATGTTAGCTAGCAAAACATTAGACAGGGCGAATAACGTACAACTCTGCTGGTGAATGAGAAGAGAATGCTCTGAAGCTCGGGGAGGTTGTCCCTAATCATCACAGCAACCCTATCAGGATGGACATCGTGTTCTATACTGTCCCCTATCAGACTGTTGCCATGATGAACCGATGTCATCCTGCAGTCAGCACAACGCCTTGTTGACTGGAACCGAGAGCCCTGGCTGCAGAAATATCGACGGGTAATCGTCGATGCTCTAAAGTATCAAGGCTAGCTTCGACAGCTGAGCGGCTTCAGGTGGCAGGTAGTTTGACTGAAATGGACTAGCACAGATGGTTGCAAGTGCCAAGGGTATTGACCGCCGTCACTCAGGAGAGAGCCGTCAATGCCGGGAGTCCTAATAGACAGTCAGCACACGGTGTTTTGTGGAGTGAGGCAGGAAGACTCGGATGGAGGCCCAGACTGGCAGACACCGTCTTCCTGGATTAGATGCCAGCGACCCTGACATTTATGCACAGAAGACCTCCATCATGAACCCATTCTTGTCTTGCCGGAAATGCATATGAGGAGGTGATGGAATTGAAGACAAGCGCGCACAGCGGTCGTGTTGAAACATCAGGGGCGCTAGAGCATGTGTATCGGGAGCAAGGAGTTCTGGGCAGTTGCCGCGGACTATGCTCCGTGGAGAGCACACAAACTCTGTCACAGTGACGTGAGTTTCGGGAGACTCGATAGGTCTAGACACTCAGGATGGTCATCGGGACGGAGGAAGTGAAACCGCGCTGTCCTCGCAAATATGATCATGCTAGGGACAGAGCTGAAGATCCCATCACTCGCCTTCCCCCCTCGTCTGATTATCAGCAAGGTCGCTTCCGCTTCGGAACCGAGGGTGATTTGATCGGCATTTTGGATTTTTGACTTGTCTTGTTTTTGGCCTGCAGAGTAGTACAATAGGCGTGAGGAAAATCGCGCTCGTCTCCTTGTCAAGTTGAGAAGTCACCTCTCACAAGCATTTTTGCTCGCATCAGAGCAAGACACGGATATTTTACGGCACCCTACAGCTATCCATGCCACAGCACCTAGTCATCTGCCCTCGCTGACAGCGTCACCTCAGAACAGAGCTGCTCAAAAGGCCCCCACGATCTGGGGTAGGACGACTCTCCACCAAGCCAAGCACCCGAACACAACATCCGCTGATGGCGAGGTATCGTGCGGGATGCTTACCATCTTTAGAAGTTGCTTCTTTGACCGGTGAGAAACCTCCTGTCCCTCGACAGAGAACATGGTGGGTGAGGGCGGGCAAGGACAGGTCGACAGCCATCCCGCCTCGCGAACTTCCTGTGACCGGTCAACTCTGCCCAACCAGACCTTCTCCGTAGCTCTCATGCTACACATTCTAGTGGGGATGGATGAGAAAAGCCACCCGCTCCCCTACCCTGACCGAGGCCGTCATGGGGTCCATGAGATGGCGCAACAGAGACTTCCCACAAACCGTATGTTCTATCCCTTGTCATTGTCCGTGGTAGTTTTGAAATTGGCTAATCATTCCAGTCAGAAGACATGGGACGAGTTTGGAACTGGCTTACATCTGATGTCTGTTCAACGTCGAGATAACCGCTGGAACTCGACCGTCTCTCTCCGCGCAGCCCCCGAAGGTAACGATCCACTGTCTTTCCCCATGTTCAAAACTTGTGCGACATCCGTGTGGGATGTCCATGTGAGAATGAAACTGCAGAGTGGTAGGGTAGAGGACAGGCTTGCTACTGACGCACTGGACATTTTCAGATAACTTTCAAAAGGCCTCTTCCAAACCAGCTCACCCCAGGGACGAAGCATGAGATAGGTATGCTGTTCTCATGGAAGATTCACCCCTCGACCACAGTATCTCTTGAGTTCCGTGGCTCCGTAACTTTGATGGCAGAAATCATCAGCCAGTCAGGCGGGAAAGCCGTCAGTGCTTCGGCCCGCGCCGTGAGTTACCACGAAACTCCCTACAAGGCAACAAACATCCGCCTATCCGCACTGTAATACGAAGAACACCTTATCTGCGTAGACTTTCACATGTGCAAGCCACTTCCCACTTGTTGTCTTCTTCAGCGCACTTTCTCGGTATGCACATGCAGCTTCCCGGTCAACCTCACCCAGCAGCTATTTGCTTTCTTGCTTCTTCTTCTTCTTCTGCTGTCGTTGTCCGCTCCCATGCAGATCACACCGCAGTCTTCCTACTGGCTGCTAGACGAGAGGTCGTGATTCGATTGCACCCAGCTGGGAGTTGCGTGATCGGGAACTGGGCCGGGCTGTCCCACCGGCAGCCTTGCGGTTTGCAGCCGGGCCAACCAAAAGTAACGTTGTCTCGTGCTCGAGGCTCAAGGGGATGCGAGAGGGTAAGAAGAAGATGGGCACATGCTTGGTCATCATCGATCGAGGTGCAACTCAAGGCCTAGAATTGCTTTTTTTGTTTGTTTTGCGGTAACCCCTATCCTCCAATCATCGGCCACTGGGGCGTTTCCCTCCGGCATATGGTGGAAGAATCACGAATCACCAAGAAGTCTCCAGTGCAGAATCGTGACAGATTAGTGTGTGAGAAATCATGTTTAGAAATGATAAGAAGCAAAGAACTACCTGTGAACTAGAAGTCGATGAAATCAACAGATATGAACGCTCTTTCCGCCGCATACATGACGGTGATATCTGAATAGGAAACGTAAAAAACCCTCTCTTTGCAATATGTATCCCTCCCCGAATTACCCTCCCCCCCCCTTTTCGAATCTGCCCATAAACCCCATCGGATCAAAACCCCTCCACAGTGATAAGGCATGTATATGAGCTCCAAAGAGGCCTAGACCTGGTCCAAGACAAGCCCAGAAAGCCCGACGGCGAGTCATGGTGCTAGGTAGCAGCCGACGAACACCCTATCGGTGTGGGTTTGGTGTGGCGTGGTGTGTGTGTGTGTGTGTGGTGCAAAGTGCGCTTGCTGTAAAGAAAAGTGATATGTTTTCTTTTTCTTGCTTTTCCCCTCTTTTTCTTCTCCCAACGACCGGCTTCCTCGCCAGACCGTCTCTCCCACTCAAAACCTCGCCAAGCTTACTCCCTTTTCGACAATACCCTCTTCATCACCAACTGTTCATCGGGCATCTATGCACGTTGAACCGAGTGGGCGTCTGTCATCTAAGACATCCCCCTTCCCCTCCCCCGCGCCTCCCCAAAAAAGCAAGATAGATGACTGAGACCTTTCTTTCTCGCCGCCACGCGAGACCACAGCCGCATGGACGCCCAATTGCTAAAAGTCCAGACCGATGAGCGTCTTCCCGGCCACGTTCTCTTCATCGGCTGGCGATTAGTGTAGCATCGGACCAGCCTGTCAGATCAGCAGGAACTGACGGCTATGGGGCTCCCGCACTTGGACAGCACACACATCCATCACCACCACACCGCACCATCCTCACACCACGAGCTCACTTCCAGAATCGTCAAACCTCTCCGGAGAAACTGATCCATCACTTCCGTGTCACGCTTTTCCCCCCCCTTCATCGGCCGCCACCACCCTGACAGCCCTCCAATCCCACCCCTCCGATCCCCCTCTCCCATCTCCTACCCGACCATCACAACTGCCCCTTCCCGCCTCTCGGCCCGGGTCACAGCCTAGTACCTGTACAGCGGCCCCGGGTCCTTCACCACCTGCTCACTCCCACTCCCCCCAGCTGTCGGCCTCTCCCTCGCAGCCCGGGTGTACGCATCCTCCTGCTCATCCGTCACATCCGATATGGGCGTCACCGGCTCAACATCCTTGTTCTTCTTCGACGACGACCCTGCCCCTACCTGCTCCCCTGCACTCCCGTTCCCTGCCCCTCCCCCTCCAAACCCGGGATGAAAAGGCTCATACCCCAACCTAGGCGTCTCATCCTCGCTGACTCTCCTATTGTTCGTCGAGAGTCTCGGCTCAGGATCACGGAACGGATCATCCTCCTGCTGCGCAGGAGTACCCGTATTCGACCTCGACGGCCCAGCCATGCTCGCCGAAGGTCCATACGCCGGGTTGGGGTTATTCGTCCGGTACGACGGTTCGGCAGATGCCTTCCCCTTTCCATTGCTGTTGCTTCTTGAACTCGACCCTGACGGTCCAAACCCCGCGCCGCCTGCTACCCCAAACCCGTTCCCACCATAGCCACTCCCCATTGGTTTTCTGGGTGGGACAGGGGGTTGGTCTTGTTGGCTCGAGGGAGAAACGGGGGTGTTGTTGTCCGATCTGGCCTCGCCGAGGTGTTTCTTGGCTTGGAGGACGGCGCGGTGGTGCTGGTTGAGGGCTTGCTGGAGCTGCTCGTTGGTGTCGATGAGGGACTCCATCGTGTCGTTGTCCGGTGCGGGGTTCTCGCAGGACATGTACCCCTGGATGGACTTGCTGGCGCCGGTGCAGCGCTCGGAGAACTCCTTGATGAGGTCGTTGGCGAGGACTTCTTGGGTGGGCGTAGAGGCGACGAGCTGTTCGAGGAGCTTGGCTGAGGTGCGGGCTTCCTCGAGGCGATTGGCGAGTTCGATGGGGTCGGGGAGGCGGTGGCGACTGGATCGGGAAGAGGAGTGGTGGTGGCTGTGGTGGTGAGGGGGTTGGGGGTATTGCGAAGGGGGTTGTTGGGGGTACTGCTGGGGGTAGGGGGGCACGTTGTGGTTGCGGGGGACGGCGTAGGTGGATGGTGTGGTCTATCTCGAGGTCAGTACATCTCAATCGAAAGGTGATAGGTGACCGCACTGAGTATGCTTCGTAGGCCTTCTTCTTTTCCTTCTGCCACATGGCGATGATGAGGTTCAGCCCCTCGTCGTACCCCTTGGATGTCTCGAACGTGTCCAATGTCTCCATCAACAGCTGCCTAACGCTGGAATCGCGACCGGTGCGTAACAAATCCTTGCAAACATCGACGAACTTCTTGTCGAAGTTTCTGGTGAACCCAGGGCCGGGGTTGTCGGAGAGGATGCGGATGAGCATGATGGCATTGTACTGGCACGCCGGTCTGCTCCAGTAGTCGCGGCTCAGGAACTTGCGGATCAATCGGGCGGACTCGGTCGCTGCGACAGGCGAGGCAACGGCGGCTTCGACGATAGCAGGTAGGTAGATGACATCGTCGCCCTGGATCACATTTGTCTCAGATCTCGAACAGCGCCAGGGCTTCTAGAAGAGGGAAGCAGGTACGTACCGTGGAGCTTCCTTTTGATTCGCAAAAGGCTTTCTGCAAGAGATATCGCAATCAGTATCCCGTACAAGCGGGGGAGAGCGAATGGCGCAAAAACGTACCACACAGCGCGCAGCAGTGTCTTGGGGTTGTTCAGTTGCGGGATCTACAACGGCTGGGATGTCGGTGGTGCTGTCCGAGGCTGCAGCAGGGTTAGCTTCGGTCCATCACTTGACGTCGTGACGATGCTCAGGCATACTATTTCTCTTTTTTATGGTGCCCAGCACCTTGTTCATACTGAAATTCTTCATCATGTTGTCGCTCTCCGTATGTATCTGATGTTCCTAGGTGTTTATTCATGCGAGAGCGTACTTGTCGACGAAGGTGGATCTGGCGCAGATGCGCGCGCGCGTCCTGTCAGAAGCCGCCGGCGCCGTATCGTGAGTTGGATTGGAGATGATTTCCACACCGAAACTGACAAACACAAGCGCAGCAGATCAGGGCGGCAAGAGAAAAGGTATGGAGAGGATTGAGAATACGCAAAGATGCGATTGAGAATTCGTGTGTGCCGTTACCCAGAAGGTTGCGATTTTCCTGTCCGGGTTTCGGGTTTGTTGATGGGTGGCCCTGCTTGCTGTTTTCCCGTCCGGCTGGCGTTGTGTTGCCCCCGCAGTGCTCTTGTTGTGTTGCTTTGGGTGAGTGCGTGACCTGCGGGATGGTTGTGCGTTGCGTGCCCACCCCCCCAACAGATGTAACAAGGGTCTTTGATCTAGGCACCGTTTTGTAAAAGGTAGATAGATAACTGAGCCACAGGCAAAAAGGGATTCCCCAATGTTCTCCAGACCCCGACAATTGTATGTTAAAGTAGACCGAGTGGTGATGAACTGGTATGGTTTGCGGTGAGCAGGCGGGCTGGTTGGTGTTCAAACTGAACTGTTGGTCCGAGCTGCCAGGTCTCAGTCTTTTGAGTTCTTCAACAGCTGACAAGGAAGCTATGAAAGCAATGAAAATAGAATATTAACATCACAAGACGCTACTCAGGCAAACACATCGGTCTTTTATCATAAATATATATATATATATATGTATATATATATGGCAGCAAAACGGTCCAGACTCACGCCAGGCAGCCGCCCGTCCGGGTTCCGTTTCCAAATCCGAGTTGGGTGTAACCATATCGAGTTGGTTAAGCAAGACTCCAGTCAATGTAGGATTGTCCTGACGTTGACTGTTGTGGACACAAGGTCTTCGCATAAGGCGCCAACACACGAAAACCACCAAGATCCAGATATCGACACACTAGAGAAAAAAGAGTTCTTGTCAGTGTCAGTGTCAGTTCTGTCTCGTCTCATATCAAGACCAATGCCAAGACATCGACAACGTAGCATACACACACACTTGACCGTTGTAGAACGGTGCTAAGCCCGCACAGCCCCCCCTTGTCGTCAATCAGACGCGCAAGCAGCTCCCCGTGGATGCCGGCCAAGCGCTTGTCAACGTCAGACTTCAAGACAACATTGCGCATCACCTGGCATGAAGAGTACTTTTATTTTCCTATTCTCGCTGAATACTACCTGCCGCTGGTCGTCTACTCTTCTTCATCTTCGTCTATTAAATCTTCAACCACAAGACTTCCGCCCCGGCCCATCTTTTGCCCAATCGTGATTGTCTTACTAGGGTGGAAGGTCTCCCGTGGTAGCACCGATGCAATTTGGAAGCCATACTTGTGCTCGTACCCCTCTGGCTCAGCCGCCTTCTCATTCAGAGGTCCTTCTTGTAGAAGGCCATAACACTCCACAAACGCATAGAGTTCCTCCAATGTGGTGTCGCTGGCAAATCTGCGGATGACCCGCCCGCCACCAGCGGAAGCCGGCATGTTGAGAGCCAACCTGACAGCATCCTTCGTGTCCGGCTCCGGCGCAACGGTCGTGGCCCGCCAATTTCTCCACTGCCTCCGTAGCTCCTCCTGTCGGGCTGCCCTTTCGGCTTCTTCCAGAGCACGCTTCTCAGCCGCTGCCGCTGCCGCCTCAGCCTCGCGCTTTTGTCGGGCTCGCTCGCGGTCACGGGCTAGCGACCTCTCGTATGCAGAGTCCTGCTCATTCCTCAGATTCCGGGCATGTTCCTGGGCCGCCCTCTCAGCCCGCACGCCGTTAAGATCGGGAGAGTACTTCGTAATCGCATCCTGGAGCCCAGAAAGGTAAGCGGCTGGCGTCATGGGTCCGACCAGACGCTTGACAATCCCCATCCTTGTGCTGCCCTCCTTGGGGGTGAGGCATACCAAGCACGAAAAGGGGTACTTGAGACAGGAATACTCGTTGGCCACCTGATGGGCTTCGGGGTCGGCCACGTTTCCTCCCCAAAGGATGATGTTGTTGGAGGGATCTGAGATGTAGCTGACAACATCGGGGCTGAGGAGTGTGTTTCGAATAAAGGAGTCGGTGTCGTCATGCTCGGGCGATATCAACACCATCAGGAAAAACTTGAGGTCCCTCTTTGCCGTGTCCAGAGCTTGGGCATGGCCTCCCTCGAAGAACACGAGGCCGTGAGTGCCGTATGCCTCCTCAAACTCGCGCCGAAACCTCCTGGCTGCCTCCTGTGGCAGTGTCGCAGTCCGTCCATGAGCCTGGCCCAGGCCCCTGATGGTCGTACCCAGGTATCGTGGCCGGAACGAGGCAGGTAGGAATGCGAAGAAGAACGAGATGATCCGGCCAAAAACACCCAATACACCTCTCGTCAAGCTCCATGTGGTTGAAAACGGCGTCAAAAGAATCGACAGTAGTCCTCGGGGCCGGATGCTAACCGGCTGCTGCGGCACCACTCGTGGGGCAGCTTCTGTTCTTGGGGACCTCGTTCGTCTCGGCCTATCATCGTCGGCATCCAGGAAGCTCTCGTGTAAGTTCTCATATCTTGCCGCGGCTGGCGGAGGATTATCCTGTGCAGCCTGGGCCTCAGCAACCAGGTCGGGCCCGTCACCGTCAAAGAATTTGGCGATAGCTATCTGGAGGGCGTGTCAGCTCTCTTCCCAAACGTTTGCTCTCATACGAAGTGCCTGACTGGGTGGAGGAAAGGATACGCACTTGGACATTCCACTGTGACCTCTCCAACAAGGGCACCGCATCCTTGATTTCTTGGCCTGTGACATCGGTGTATTGCTGAAGAGCCTCCTGCTGCTGGGAGGAGAGCTGGCCCAGATCAAATTCAACGCCGTCCGCCATGTTGAGGGTGGCGTGTTCCCAATTCCCGAAGCTGTGGTTGGTGGCCCAGAGCTCCGGTCGTGGTCAAATCAGTTTGCCCAAGGTAATGCTTTGCAAAGAACACGTCGGTGGTGCGGTTGAGAATGGCGCTAAGTCACAATTAATTGTTAGATGCACCGAGCTTGTTCTGGCTGTTGCAAGCTCTTGAGGCGATGCCCGGCGTCGGGATATCAAACAGATAGCACGTTGTACGAATGATACTGGTGTGGTGGAAGAGATAGCCGCATCGGTCGCAACACGTCAACCTCCGCGTCCCAGAGTTACGGCACCGGGTGCAAACTGCTCTCTTGCTTGTCTAGGTGAATGAGAGGAAAACAGGAGTGGCAGGGCTCAACAAGTTGAGGAAGGCGACAGGGACAGATGATTGAGGGTGAGGTCAGCCTTGGTCCTCAGATTCATACAACGAATATATATATATATATCTTTATACGCGCGGAGCACGATGTCAGCAACCCCGCTTAGAAGAATGGGGCCTCCCGACAAGAGTCCGTGCTCACTCCTCCTCCTCGAGGCTGAATGGCCAAGAAGCAAGGAGTTGGGGGCCCCACCCCACTCTTAGCGCGCGGGCACCCGCGACGACCCTCTCGAGAGTTCTCATGCTTTCTTCCCCTGGGCACAGTCAGCACCGTCCCCATTCTATACCCCGTGAGCGCATTGGTTCAGAGCTTGTCAGATTTTGGCAGCGACGTCAACTCGAAATTCTTTCCCATCGTCCTTTCTGCCGCCATAACCCCTCCTGGACAGCCCAAAGTTGCTTCGATATAGAGCCCGACCACTGCCACCCCGCCCCATTGATCGCCTGCCGTGCGCTTCCTTTGTCTCGTGCCGCTGCCATAGCCTCCAGTTTGATAGTAGCAGCAACCAGTCGCTTCAAAACACGGTTTCTTCTTGTCTTGCGACCAGCTGTGTATTGCGCTTCTCTTTCCCAGCCTGTGTCCAGTTCCATGGATGCCTTTTCGGCCCTCTAAAGCAAAACATGGGAGGATTAAGCTACCTGTCTTCAAGTAAGAGCCCATGACTGCTCGCTCATGTCTTCTCTGGATTGCCACCAATCATGGCATTTGTAGCTGTCGGCGCCTTTCAAACAGTTCACTGACACAATGCGCCAGATCTCTTAGAAACGTCCGAGGCATTCCCATTCTTCCATCCTTGATATAGAGTAACCGATTCGCCATGGCCGCATCACGGTACAACTCCAACGACCTGCGGCGGCAGGTCGGCTCGCCGAGATCGAAAGGACGAGGTGGGTTGATCTCGACAAGCATTGAGCACGTCGACATGCGGTTCAACTGACAGCGATGCCCAAAGATACCAAGGACACCCTTTGCCGCAACGTTGTGATCTACGGGCACTGCCGATACATGGACACGACCTGTAATTTTAACCACGACCAAAACAAGCCAGTTTCTGGCCCTTCCGATTTGTAAGTCGTTAGCCGTTGGTGAAGGTGGCATGCGGCCATGCGAAAAGCCAAGAACCGGGCTTGTGTGGCTTGTGGATGTGGTATCATGCTTGATCTTTGCGCGTCTAACCGTGCCGGCAGTCTTTCCAAGAAATCTTTCAATGCCGATTCACCTTCCTTCACGCCCTCGGGCCAAAATCTGGGACAAGCCAAGAAGACCACCCTTTCTTCTCAAGCAGCAAATGCTGCGCCCTTCACCCCTCGCGGTGTCACCGGTGAGTGTGGCTCTCGTCTAGACCCGTCATCTCTTGTTCAAGGCTGACGGCCTTGCAAAAGCGAGCACGCAGCAGAATGCTGATTTGACCATGTTCAACCCAGCTGGTGCGCGAGAGTTCACTCCGTCAGGCAACACACAGAACTATGAACTAGGAAACAGCGTATGTTCAGGATGCCACCCTATGTGGATTTACCTTTTCGGCCTGACTGACCGAAAAGCAGAATATGGGGAATGGCGCAGCCCAAGACAATGGCGTTTTCAGCGATCCGTTTGCCATGAACTCAATGGCTCCTGCCCTTGCGAACAATGCACCTTTTAATCCCTACGCGGGTGATCCCAGCGCGGTCTCAGGTGCTGGGGCGGGCTTCTATTCTTCAGGGGGCGCGTATGCCTCTGTTCCCATGCAACAACCAAACTATCATCTGTATCAGCCGTACGATGCTTATCGAGGAGAGCTGCAACCTTGGCAGCGGTCCACCTATGACTATTTCATCCCAGCTGCCATGCGAGAGGAGATACAAAAGAAGATGTTTGCTACACAGCATACAATGCCGGGTAGGTCCTTCTGACTGCCGCTTCTTTCTGGACCCAATGCTGAACCACAAAGCAGGCCTGCCCAAGCTCGAGAACTACCACTCTCTGTTCTCACTGGACACCAGCCACAGGAAAAACACTGCCTGTTTTGGCTACCACAGTTGGGTGTACAAGGCTCAAAAAGTGACGACTGGGCTGCACTACGTCCTCAGACGTTTGGAAGGGTACCGCTTGTCAAATGATCAATCGGTTATGAGTGTGATGAGGGACTGGAAAAATGTCAGACATGAGAACATTGTGTCGTTTCACGAAACCTTTACTAGCCAAAACTTTGGCGACAGCTCCCTCATCTTTGTGTACGACTGGCATCCTCTTGCCAAGACGTTGGCCGAACAACACTTCTCTTCGCCCCTGGGGAACAACCGACAAAGATATCCCGCTGTGCCGGAAGGCATACTCTGGAGCTACGTTTGTCAGATCGCAAGCGCTCTCTATTACCTACACAACAAAAATCTTGCAGCACGGTGTCTGGACCTCAGCAAAATTCTCGTGACGGAGAAAAGCCGGATTCGACTGGGGTCATGTGCCATCTTGGATGTGGTGCAATATGACCACAACCGTCCGATTCAGGAGCTGCAGGGGGAGGATCTGGTCAAATTTGGCAAAGTCATTCTGTGTCTGGCCACGGGCATGCCTCCAAACTTGCTGCAGTCCAGCAATACGAAGGCAGCCCTCGACTCGCTGGTCAAATACTCGCGCTCCTTGAGGGACGCTCTGCAGTTCCTTCTATCACCAGTCGCGCCGAACGGCCAGCCACACACCATTGCACACTTTCTCACCATGATTGCGCCGCAGCTTGTGCAGCAGGCAAACAACACGCTCCGAGAAAACGACGAGCAGCAGTACTGGCTCGCTCGCGAGATTGAGAACGGCAGGATCGCACGCAATGTGATGAAGCTATCAGTCATACTGGAACGTGGCGATTTGGGCAGCCAGTCCAACTGGTCAGAGGTGGGGGATCGCTTTCAGTTGAAGCTCTTCCGCGACTATGTTTTCCACCGTGTGGATGCCAGTGGCAAGCCCGATCTTGGTCTGGGCCACATGTTGAGTTGCATGAGCAAGCTCGACGCTGGCGTGGATGAGCAAATCATGTTGACGAGCCGCGACAACGAAACGGTTTTTGTCATTACATACCGAGAACTCAGGGGCATGTTTGAGCGCGCGTTTAATGAGCTCATGAAGTTCAGCAAGTCGCCTGGGCTTTAAGGGTTTGCTATAGGGGGTGGGCTGGTTGCTCTCTTTGGTGAGAGGCACGTTGCGATCTGGAGATATTCTGAAGGAGGTGTTCGGGAAGCCTATTCGAACGACCACCCAGAGGAGAAACAAAGGGGATGAAGGCAGGCCAAAGCTTTCAGTGGGGGGTAATAACAAGCTGAGGGGCGGGGAGCGTCAAGAAGAACAGCGGGATGGTGAGGGGCTGGACGACGAAAGGCACTGAGGATGTCAAACATTCGGACAATAACGAGCCTCGAGACAACGAGGATGAGGAAACAGCACGGCAGGGAAAGGCATTATCCAGCCTCCACGTGAAGGCCAGCACGGACCCGAAGACGATAAATCGAGGGACAAACTGCCACCTGACGAGATCCTTGGGGAGGAATATCCGAGGGGGAAAAGGGAAGCGGAAGGAAGTTGACGAGAAGCGTTGGCGGGATAGTAGATGGATAAATGTAAATCGCAGACGAGGGAGACTTGTGGACAGGAGTGATGGAGGTGCGATGACGTGGACAGTGTGAATCAGGTGAGCAAAGGCGGCAGAAAGGTGAAAGGAGATGAGCGAAGAGGATATATAAGCGGTTGTCATAGAGGCGGTAGCTGTCATTTTCTTATGATGAAGAAACAAAATTGAAAAGTTTATATCTTATGCTGCTGCCGAAGCTGTGGTGTTGAAGATTGAATGGTGTTGCTGTGCTTTTCATAGCCAACCATCTCGAAGATGATTCTGTTCCTTTGGTGCTGATGGTATGGTGTGGGACCTCATCACACCCGCATCAACGTCAAGTACTTGGTTCCCTGGGTATCTCTCCCTTGTCAATTTTCCGCTGTCAAAGCACTTACGGGTCTCGCCTCCCATGTTCCTTTCGACCGTCGAAGATGAATTCTAAACCTGTTTTGCCGCACCTTAGACCCAATCGATATTGCTATGCCAGGGACATTATTGACGACACACGCTTTCTTTCCCCCTCTTCGTCATGCATCTCAATCCTCCATCTCCTCCTGCTGCAAGAACGGGTTGGCTATCACCTCGCTGCCGTCCACGGGAGAAATAACAACCAGAAGGGTGCCGCGTACCACCACGAGACCAAGCGATCGCGTAGTTTCGTTGCCTTCGTCATCTGTTTCCCTCATGTTAGCCCCCCTTTCGCTAACCCCCAGCACGCCAACCCGCAAACGAACGTACCTCTGACCGCCTCCTGAACCTCATCCAGCACCAAATTCATCAACGCATCATACCCCTTTAGCGTACCCGTCACTTGTTCATTCCTCCATGTCAGCACCTGCTTAACCATTTCCCCAAGTTTGAGAACAACCTACCCTCCCGTCCGCCATTAAACTTGACCGTAATCCTCTTGTCCATGTACTTCTTCAGGTCAAGAATATTCTCCTTCTTGGGACGCTCCGTCTGCTCCCCGGACCCGCCTTGGTGTTGTTGTCCCTGCTGGTTCTGGTGACCCCCGCGACCGCCGCCCCGATTGCCGCCGCCGCCGCCGCCGCGATGAGGACCTCCCCTGCCTCCTCCGCTTCCTCCTCTGTGACCGCCTCGGGGCTGGTAGGGTCTTTCGCTCATGATTGGGATCTGTTTTCTGTTTCTTTGTTTTCGTCTTCGATGAGAGGGAGGGGAACTTGATCGGGGATCGTGGGGTGGGTTATGTTCGTCAAGGTCGTGGTGGGTTTCGAGACAGGTGGGATGGTCAAGTACTGGTTGGTGGGGCTGGAAGCTCCAAGCTCTCTGGTTGTGGATGGCAAAGCAGTCAACAGTCAACAACCCCAACCCCCAAATTCCAAAAAGAGTCAAAAAGGTCGTTAAAAGTGGAGCCTTTTCCTCCCTGCCTAACCCCGGCGGTTCTTTTTGGGTCGTGGCAGGGGTGGCAGGGGTGGCAGGTGGGGCTTCCCGCTTGTGGCTAGTGAAGCTGCAGGGCGCGCACGGGGCAGGGATTGGAGTTTGAAGATGTGCGTGGTCAAAGCTTGGGGTCTGTTTTGGACGACATCTTGGGAGGGGGAGGGCGGAGGGGCCGTTGAAAGAGCATTTTTCGGGATTGAGGCAGCAGTCGTTGGGTTGACTGGGAAAACATGTACCGGCGGGTGCCAGAGAGGTCGAGAAGGCTTCAGACTGATTTTTTTTATTTTATTTTAGCTTGGATTACTCACTTGTTGTGAAACGAGCTGGCTGGTCAGCAGATAGATGATGGCCGCCAACTTGGAGCTTGCTTACCTCAGGCACGTCACAGTATAAGGAACAAGGTGACCTGACAATACAAACAGGAGCCAAGCTAATATTATAAGGGCATTAAATAAGGAGTTGAAATAGTGTTGAGCACCGTAGTACTATTGTGACGAACCCCTGTACAGAACCTCTGAAAGGGATACGGGTTGAAGGTAACTTCTGACAATTGGTTCGGTGCAGCTAAACAGTGCACAACAAGATGTCTCGATGTAAACACAAGATGCCGTGAATTCAACTGTGAATTGCATACTGCGGAACTATCTGCAAGCTATCTAGTTCCTCCGTATATATAGACCTAATGCCAAGCCTGGATCATTCTGTTTCTCCCCGGATCATGACCGACTCCTAAGGATCATGAGTGATTCCTGGGAATCGCTCATGATTCCTTCATGTCCCGGATGATCCACCTCTTACTGGTCCATCCTCCTTTCTCTTGATTGGCTGCCGTGCCTCCTCTTCCCTATTGGTTGTTCTTTGCGGGTGTCCACATCATATTCGTGACAATAAGCAACGCACTTGCTCTTCAAAACTTCCCCACCAACCTTTGAGACATCTAACCACATTCTAAAGAATGTTCAGCACAACCCAAACGGTATTCAACACCTCCTCACAATTAGTTATCATTCTTCGCTAATCCATTCTACCCAGTCATATCAAGAAGTCTATGACTACAAACCAAATAAATCCGCTGAGTATCCCATAATCCTATCTTCAATTCTCTTTCCAGTGTCCCGCTGTCCAGATGTCTCGACGCTTGTTAGAGATGTGCCCTTCTCGTCATCCCCCTCGTAACCCTCATCCTTACTCGAGACCAACTATTCAAAAAGTCCCCTGTCAGCACAATCCTTCCCTTCACCGCACCCTAGAGACTGCTTACCAGTGGCGGAAGCCCAGGCGGCCCGGCCTCAGCCAAAACACTGGCAATAGATGGCATGGGAGGAGCCCGCTGCCCTCGACGAACCGGCTGAGCAAGCCCATGCCTAGGAGCCGGCGGAGGTCGTCTCGATCCTCCCGCCTCGCTATCACCTGGAACAACAACCTCCTTCTCCTCCCCCTGATCCTTCTTCTCAACAGGCGGTCCCGCATAGTCGTCGTACGTCTCGATCGGCCGGCTTCGGTACCGCTCCGTAAACGTAGTGCTGGGGTAGTAATCAAATCCAGTGCCGGTAATAGGTATCTTTTCCTTGACTTGGGGCAGTGGCTGGATTACTTGAGGCTTGTTACGCGTTCCTGGGGGGTTGTTGTCGCCAGTCTTACAGAGGTTCTGGTCATACTTTGGCCATGGTTCTCCGACAGTATTCACCGCGGGTTCAGAACCCTTCACTGGCGGTGCTCTACTGATGGCATCGGGATGACCAGCCGCAGTTCGACGAATCTCACGCTTGCCGGCCTCCCGGGCGGCAGCAGCTTTGAGCCCCCACTTGCGCTAGTCAGTGGGGGGTGCTTCCTCCCTCAGCCCTGCGTTGAAACGAGCGAGGGTAGCTGGAGGGGGGGTCACGGGGCTCTCGGTACCGGTGGGCTGTCTAGAGGTAGTCATCTCGTAAGTCTCGCTGGACGTTGGCGGCTTTGCAACAGGCGCACTGCCTGTTGCAGTAGACGTTCCGGCGAGCGTACTTTGTCGTCTTGGGGCCCCTGTCTGGCTTCCCGTAGTTTCAAGTTCCCCTATTCTAGACGTCCGTGTCTTCTTCAAAGAGCCTTTTATGAAATTCTGGAAAGATTTCCATCCCTTCTTCCGTCGCCCATCATCACCCTCTCCGGCGCCACCACGAAGCCGACCGGGTCCGTAGCTCGGCGCCGTGTTTTGTTGCCACCAGGTCTCTGCAGTCGTACTGGGATTGGTACTGGGATAAGCCTGGGCAGCGAAATCCCGAATGCTTGTATCAATGGGATGAGACGGCAGTTGGTTAGAAGAAGCTCGATGTCGACTGCTTCGCTGAGGTACCCCTGATATTTGCGGTCCACTTGACGAGCGGCTGACAGCAATGTTGGGCAGAGAACGTGAACGCCTTCGCGGTTGAAAAGGGTCTTCGCTGTTTCCAGTAGTCCCAGTGGTCCCAGTCGTCCCAGTCGTCCCAGTTGTTTCACCTGTCACAGTAATCTCAGTTCTCACAATAATTCTAGATTCGCCAGTCGTTCCTGTATTTCCGGCTGTCCCAGGAGTTGCCGTCGTTCCAAGAGCTCTTGTCACTACAGTTGTTCCTGTAGCTCCAAGTTTTCCTGACGCTCCAGTTGTTCCAGCCGTTTTGCTATCTGTATCTTCTTCTGGATCGGCAGCAGCTCGGAGTCCTTGGACAGGTCGCCTGGTCATAAACGCCTTCAACCACCTGGCCCCGCTCTTCGCTTTCTCCCATGTCCTTCTCCGGCGCCCACCACCCCCTCCCGCGCCACCACGAAGCTCTCCCATGAAGAAATCAGCATCACTGTTGCCTTGAAGCAAACCTTTCGAAGAAAGTGAGAGATCTTGTGTCCAAAAGAGCAGGTCTACTGATGATGGCGAACGACGTTCTGAATAAAAGGAAGCATCCGGTGAAGATGGTGGTGTGCCTGTTGATGATGGTGTCTATCCCTCAGCATCGGATTTACTTGGACATTTGAGAGTGTACACAGTCGTTTCGGAGTGCCACGTGCCGTCTGCGGCTTTCCTGAGAGGACCTGGTTGATTTTTCGGGTAGGGAAACCGCGCGTGTCTAGAAGGATTGGGTCTGTTGGACGGTTCATCTCTAGTAGTATCTGGGGTATCGTCTCGGTTGGTTGCTGAAGTACTGCCCCAGCTGTCCTCTCCGTGCGCTGGTATCGACGAAAAAGAGTCCAGCATTCTGCGACGAAGTCAAGTCAGTGGCGCGAAAACATGACGTGGGACAGCAAAGGGGTCTCACATCTGTGGATCGAGGCTCGTGGCCCCTTCCAGATCTTCGCCATGCATCCTGTACCAGAAACGAGGGGTGGCCGTCTCTCAAGGCTGTCGAAAACGATGGATCGAAGAAGAGATAGTGTTCTCAACAGACAACAGCCGGCTAACATAAAGCCCTATGGAATGTTCAACGAATGACTGCTCTCGCGTGTGGTTAATGATGAGTACAGGAGGAAATCGTCATCGGAGTGCTAAATGGAGCACCAGATGCCGCTTTCGAAGGTTCGGTTCCCCGATTGTCAGGAGTGACTGCTGCTCCTACCGGAAAGAAAGCAGGCACTCTGTTATCCAACCAGGCCGGTTCTACCCTCTCGTATGAGCAAGATACACATGGATGCTAGTTAGTTTCCCCGACCTTGGTGTCCACACTGGTGCGAATACCACACTATCTGCACATGCCTTGACACTGGGTCTCACCCACCCCGTTTTGAGATTCGCTGCCAGATGAAATTGAATCGTCTCATCGCCAGACCGGTGAGGTGTTTTCACTACTGTTGACAGACCCCCGAGGATCACTTGCTAATGGGCCACAAAGGTTAGACAGCCAGCATTGCAACATACCTAGCCAAGAGGCAGAAAAACAGGTCGCCACTGGACACTCGGGCGAAATGGCAAAGCTGTCAAAAGATACCTGGATCTGTCGATTGCCGTGAATGAGACGGCCTCTCGAACTGTCGATATCCCATCTCGGAGATACATTGTCTCATGGGGGCTAGCATGGATCTTTCTTGACGGAATGCTGGTGGCGCTGCTGAGGGGCAGTGATTGTGATATCTACCTGTCCAAAATAGCAACACCATCATCTGGCAAACAAACTTGAGAGGCTCAAGGTCTACCGTTTGAGTTTGTGATACATCTCCAAAGTGTGCTGCTACCGAACTGACATTGGCTGGAAATCCGAAGTGTGTAGAAGTAAGATGTCTCTGCTTCTGTCGATCCAAGGTGCGGTCGAATGGAAGTAACCGCCACATTGGGCTTGGAACGTCGTGGTCCCCAAAGAATCGACATCTGTCCTGGCGCCCAAACCCCTCGTCACAGATCCAAGTGTGCAGCCGGTTGGCTTGATGTCCCCCACACACTGGACGATAGCTTCTCGGATGCCGATGCCGACACGGCCAAAAACATCTCTTTCAGCTCTTGACGGGATGAAACCGCAAAAAGCAATTCCACTTCTCGTTTCCATTTCTATAGCTGGGAAAGATAGGCAAAAGGCCAGGTCTGAGCACACCGCACTGATATGCCTCGCAACCCATCTGTTTTTATTTCCGTGCCATTCCAGATCACCCCTCGACCTCTGACAAAGGAGATCATTCACACAAAGTAAATAGTCTACCGATATGTCCACCCCGGCCCCCGTACCAGACATCTGGACGTCTCGAGGGGCTTGGAATGTGAATAGGCTCAACGCTAGCTTTCCCACGACGCACGATGC